ATTATGTTTCTGGAGCTGCTACCTCTACTGCTGTTGATTCTGCTGCTGTTGCTGCAGCTGCTACTGCCGTCGCTGCTGTTGCTGCTGCTGCTGCATATTGTGAGTTCTGCGGTGCTGGCGTTCTGATGATGAGACCTAATGTTGCTGCTACCGTCTCTTGTGCTGCTGCAGCGAGCTGTGGCACGATTTCTGCTACATGCCTTCTTCTGCTGCTGCTGTTGCTGCTGTTGCTGCTGCAGGCTGCTGTCTTCGGTCCTTCTGGGTCTGATGGCCCCTTGGGATCGCATCATGGAGGGCCATACCTTGTGGGGTTTTCCCGCACTGCAGCGCAAGAGCGGGCGTTTCAGAAGCAGCTGCAGCAGCAGAAGCAGCAGGACCCGCAGCAGCAGCAGGAGCAGGAGCAGCAGCAGCAGCAGCAGCAGGAAGACTGGCTGAGCACGGATATGGGAGCGTCTGTGGTAGTGTTTGACGAGGCCCACAACATCGACAACGTCTGCATCGAGGCGCTGTCTGTACACCTCAATAAAAATACCCTGGACCAGGCCCTTCGCAATCTAACAGAACTAAGCGAGGATATCAAAAGGTATCATAAACTCTTCCTGCTGACTATGCTGCTGCTGATGCTGCTGCTGTTGCTGCTGTGCATAGTTTGATGCCTGGAGCGCTGCTTGTGCTGCGGCAGCAGTCCTGCAGCGCCCTTGCTGCAGCTGCTGCAGCTGCAGCAGCTGCTGCTTCTCGCGGAGCTGCTGCATCTCGCTCTTCCCCTCCTGCTGCTACCACTGCTTTATCATCCATGCTGCTGTTGGCTGCTGCTGCTGCTGCAGGCGCAAAGCACAGGACTCGGAGAGGCTGCGTGCTGAGTACCACCAGCTGCTGCAGGGCATGCAGCTGCAGCAGCAAAGGCGACGAGAGCAGCTACAGCAGCAGTCACAGCCATCGGAGCAGCAGCAGCAGCAGTCGCAGCCAACGCAGCAGGTTGTGGTAACAGCTGAGACATTTCAGGCCCTTGCAAATCCAGTTTTGCCTTCAGACGTCGTTGAAGAGGTACAGACCTTAAACCCTAAACCCTAAACCCCAAACACTATATACGTGAAGCAGATTCTGTTGCAGGGATGATGATTTCGGGCTCGTCGCCTAGGGTTTAGGGTTTAGGGTCTAGGGTTTGGAGTGTGGGTCTCAGGCCACTCCTGGAAGCATCAGAAGGGCGGAACACTTCGTGGCGCTGATGAGGCGTGTGATTGCCTTTCTAAAGATCTATATCAAGTACTAAACCCTAAATCCTAAACCCTCAGGCATTGTGTATTGTATGAGGTTGTGTGCGTGCGTGTATTGGGTGGTATTTCTGTTCGTCTTTCCGTCTGCCTTGTACTTTCTATTTATTTTTTTTCTTGTTTATTCTCCCTTTGTTTGTTTCGTTTCGTGTTTGTACTTGTCATGTCCCCTTTTTCCCTTTCCTTTTTTTTCTTTTTATTTATATTTAGGGTTTACGACTTGAAGAGCGAAGGGCCATTATCGTTTTTGTTTAATTTTGAGCGAGAGTCGCTAGTTGAGGGGACAGTCTTGAAGCACTTCCATTCGAGGCTGAAGGTTTGTCTGGTCTTTGCCTTGCTTTGTCGTTGTCTGTCTTTGTCTTTTCTCGTCATTGTACTTTCTCCTGTTTCCTTGCCGTTTTCTTTAGTTGCACGTGCTCTTTGT